GTCATCGTCACGAAGCCGACCGACTACGCGACACTACCGACACGGGAAGGACAAACCGGACCCTGGGCGCCGTCGTATTTCGTGGAGGTGCCCCAGTATCGCACGTGGGACGCGTGGTGCGCAGGTCTGCGCGCTCGATTTGAGCCAATCGCGGCCTCGATCTCGGCGCGACAGAAGCTCCGCACTTGGCGCCAACTCGGTTCCGTCCAGGATTACACGAGCGGATTTCTGGCGCTATGCGAGCAGGTGGGCTACATGCATGAGAGCGAACGCATCGACCGCTACATCGGCGGCCTGAAGCAGGACATCGCTCAGGAAATCCAGCTTCGCGGCGTCACTGAGTTTCAGGAAATTCTCGCTATGGCGGAGAAGCTCGACTTCTTTCGCCGACCGAGACCGGGGTCCTACGGAAACAACACCTGGGGACATCGGCCTCGTGGGACGAACGAGAGCGCCACGATACGCGCCGTCGCCGCAAATGCCGCTGCCGCACCGTTCAAAGGGCGCTGCTTTGCGTGCAATCGGCCGGGACATTGCAAGAGCGAATGCCCGGAAAACGCTAAGGGAAAGGGGGAAGCTGAGCAGCAGACACAGACCAAGCAGCAGGGAAACGCTGGAAGTCAGTAGCAGACGGGCCCTCTACTGACAGGTCACGCCGCTCGCCCGACCCAACCGACCCTCACCGAGTGATTGTGCCGGTTCACGCAATCGACCACACCCGGCCGAATAAGGAGGGTACCACGGTAGATAGCCCTATACTGCTCAGTGGGAAAATTGGGACGGACTTAGTTAAAATCTTCGTAGATGGGGGAGCCAGCCACAGCCTCATTAACACTGCTACAGCACGAAAACTGCGACTGCCACTGGACCGATGCTTACCTGAGATCGACGCACGACTGGTAGACGGCACGCCGCTGGCAATACGGGAACGCGTAGACCGAGTTCGGATTCGATGCGGGGGTAACTTCACGTTTAGTCAGGAAATGCTCGCAACGACCCTCGACGGAACCGACATTTTACTCGGGCGTGATTGGCTGCGACGACACAACCCGCGAATTGACTGGACGACGGGTGACTGCACCGTGCGAGTGAACGGTAACAGCATCGCCTTACCTCGCTGGGGCTCGCCTGAGTCTTCGTCGGTGCGTGTCAACGCGATCACGATGAAACGCGCTGTTGCGGCCGGAGCCGACGTGTACGCGGTTGACATTCGGGAAGCCGAGGCAGCAGACAAGGGAGGCGATTTACAGAAACTGCTGACCGACGTACCGAGTGACCTGGCGGCACTGTTACAACAGTACAGTGACATTTTCCCGGATGACCTGCCGACGGGACTGCCACCTCAGCGACCGCACGATCACAGGATAGAACTGGAACCGGGGGCACAGCCAACAGTACAGCGACAGTTCCGACTGACCCAACCCGAACTAGACGAACTAAGGAAGCAGCTCGATTACCTGCTAGAAAAGGAATTCATTCGCCCTAGTTCGTCGCCTTTCGCCGCACCAATACTGTTCACACCGAAAAAGGACGGGGGTTTTCGCATGTGCATCGACTACAGGGCACTGAACAGGGTTACCATCAAATCCCGTTACCCCATCCCACGAGCCGACGAACTGATCGACCAACTGCGCACAGCCCGGGTTTTCTCGAAAATCGACCTCCGAGGAGGTTACCACCAAATCCGCGTCAACCCACCCGACTGCCCTAAAACCGCATTCCGAACACGCTACGGATCCTTCGAATACACCGTCATGCCATTCGGACTGACCAACGCCCCCGCCACTTTCCAAATGACCATGAACGAAGCATTCCGCCCGCTTTTAGATAAGTGCGTCATCGTTTATCTGGACGACATACTGATTTACAGCCCTGACAGAGCACAGCACTTACAAGACATCGAAGCAGTTTTTAAAATCCTGAGTGAGAACCGCCTACTGACCAAAGCATCTAAGTGTGAGTTTTTACAGGACCGCCTGGAGTTTTTGGGACATGTTATTTCAGCTGCAGGAGTAGAAATAGACCCGAAGAAAATTGCGACGATTCAGGCTTGGCACGCGCCGACCAACTTGACCGAGTTGCAGAGTTTCCTGGGGTTCGTCAACTACGTGCGCCGGTTCGTCCCCGACATGGCGAAACTGACTGCCCCGTTGACTGACCTGCTGAGGAAGGGGGTTGAGTACACGTGGGGGGAGAAAGAGCAAGCTGCCTTCTCGGCCCTCAAAAATATTTTGTGCTCCCCGCCCGTCCTTCACATTGCAGATCCCCACCGTCCGTTCGAGCTCGTCACCGACGCAAGTGACATCGCTGTGGGAGCAGTACTGTTGCAGGATTTCGGGAATGGCCTCCAGCCAATCGCGTACGAGTCCCGCAAGTTACACCCGCCCGAACGTAACTACCCGATACACGACCGCGAGATGCTAGCGATCGTGCACGCGTTCAAAGTTTGGCGATGTTACCTGACTGGTGCCGACGTGACAGTACGGACAGACCACCGCTCGCTACAGTACCTTCGCGCCCAACCGAATCTCAACCCACGACAGATTCGCTGGTTGGACTATCTCGAGTCCAATTTTCACTACACCGTCACGTACAAAAAAGGAGCATCCAACATCGCCGACGCTCTCACCCGCCCCACCGCCCAACTCCACGCCATCCTACTCGCCCAGACCAGCCCGCTTTTAACTGGCCTATTCACCCACGGATACCGCACCGACCCATTTTTCACGACCGGAAATTCACAGCAACTGGCAGAAGCAAAAGGAGTTTATTACGTAAAAACAGGCACCAACCGCATTTGGGTACCCGCGTACTCACTACTGAGGGAGCTGCTGCTGCAGGAGGCACACGACGGGATTACCTCGGGACATTTCGGGGTAGAAAAAACACGACAGCAACTGCAGCGGTACTATTACTGGCCGGAGCTGTTGACCGACGTACAGCAGCACGTGGGCTCGTGCCCGACGTGTCAGGTGATGAAGAGTTCAAGGAAGCGGAAGGCGGGTCAATTGCAGCCGATCCCACCGCCCGAACGCGCCTGGCAGCAAGTAACCATGGACTTCGTCACAGGGTTACCTTCGAACCCTGGGGGTAACGACGCGGTGATGGTCGTCGTGGATAGGTTGACGAAGATGGCACACTTCGCTGCGTGCAAAAAGTCGATCTCAGCCGAAGAGACCGCTCGCCTGTTCATCGCAGCCGTTGTTCGCCTGCACGGGATACCAGCAGCAATTATCAGCGACAGGGACACGAAGTTTACCAGCAACTTCTGGAAGAACCTCTGGGAGCAGTTCGGGACCAGGCTACAGTTCAGTTCGTCGTACCACCCCGAGACCGACGGCCAAACGGAGCGGACGAATCAGACGATGGAGCAGTTGATTCGTGCCACGTGCGACGACCCCACGACCTGGGAGCAGCAGCTGCCGCTGATCGAGTTCGCGTACAACAACGCCACATCAGCCACGACGCAGCAGTCCCCGTTCTACCTGAACTATGGGCAGAACCCCACAGTGCCCATGACGCCGAGTCCGGACAACCCAACGCCACGCGCACAACAATTCGCCGAAATCCTGCAAGCTGCCCGCGCCAGAGCCGCCGAAGCAATAAAAAAGGCCAACGTCATCGCTAAGCGCAACGCTGATCGCCACCGCCGCCCCGTCACGTATCAATCTGGAGATTACGTGCTACTCGACACGCAAAATCTGCGACTGCCCGACGTACCAAAATTACGACCGCGCTACTGTGGACCATTCCAAATCAGTCACATGATCACACCCGTCACCGCGCACCTACTGTTGCCAATTGACTGGTACATCAGCCCTTCGTTCCACGTCAGCCTACTTCGCCCATACATCCCGACCACGAGTCAACTGCCGCGTCACCGGCCACAATCAATGACTCGCCCTGCATCAGAGCCGATCATCGAGCCCGAAAAATTTTTGAGCCATCGGATCCGCCACCCCACGGGAATCAGGAGGATTGAATTCCTCGTTCGCTGGAAAGACCGCACGCCAACTGAAGATAGCTGGGTGCCCCTGAGCAACATCGAAAATCACCCTGCCCTGCAAGTGTACTTGAGAAGCCGGGGATTCCGCGATATACACGCACTCGCGTAGCGGAGGGGGCTTCTTAAGGGGGGGGGGGTAGTGTAAGGAATTTTCTCAGGCATTCCTTACGGAGCCGACTACATCGCGTACAGCAACAGCCGACTGTTCGCCCGTTACTGCTAACGGAACTTCGCCGACTTCGCGCGCACTGTTTTGCCAAACCTCGCACTGCTGGCATGGCCGTATCGGCCTACGCTTCGGGACTAGCCCGAGCCTCGCTCCAGCGTAGCACTAGCAAGTTCGCACGCACCGCGTTACCGTTTTGCATGTTTCGCGTATAAATGCTCGCTCATGCCTTCGCTCACATTTTGTACTCGTTTGACACCTTAGTGCAATTCTCGCTACCTCGATTCATTGCACCCGTAACACAAACCAAGAAAAGATCTCCATGTTGTCTGGCGAATGACGGTAGGTGCCGGTTTCCACATCCAATGCGAACCTGCCACTTCAGATGGCAGCAGCTTTGCCGTACGATGGCGGCTGACATAACATTGAGGCAGTATGTACCGTCGGATGCAGGTTTGGGTAACAAGATCGGCGTCATCTTCCCTCCATGCGACAGTTCCCCAGCCTTGGTTTCGTCTCGCTCAAACCGAGATCTCTGGCATGCCCAGGGCAAGCGTGAACGGCACAGCAGGAACCAAGGAACTCACGCTTGGGAGAAGCCCTTCTCCCACCCCCACCCGCCTCCCCCCCACGGCATTCACCTCCATTGCTGCTCTGCCGACGTGCTGTTGTGTTCACTTGCTGCTCTGTTTGAGCTGCATCCATTGCTGGTGGATCTCGCCACGCTCCCAGCAGCTCCACCTGAGAGTCGACCAGAACGTAGTCCAGCAGATCCGCCTTCGCCTATCCATTAACTCGCGGCTCGTCTTTTCAACCCGACCGCACACCATGGCGTCCAGGTCATCTGCGCTGCGATCCGCCGCTCTCAAGGGCGCGAGCCTCCTTCTCGGCTCCCGCGCCCAACCCCGCCTCTCGCCCGCCATCCACGCCGCCGCCGCCGCCGCCACCGCACCCGCACGCAACATCACGTCCGTCGCCGCCGCCTCCATCCCCGCCGCGTCGGACGAGACCCCCATCCCGGTCGACATCGCGGTGCCGTTCAAGGGCCACCGCATCGAGCCGCCTTCCACTGCCGTGACGACGACGCCTAAGGAGCTGATTAAGTTCTTCTTCGACATGTTCCTCATGCGGCGCCTCGAGATCTCCTCGGATTCGCTCTACAAGGCGAAGCTGATCCGCGGATTCTGCCACCTGTACGACGGGCAGGAGGCGGTGTGCGTGGGCATGGAGGCTGGCCTCACATACGACGACTGCATCATCACGAGCTATCGCGATCACTGCACGCACATCGGCCGCGGCGGCACCGTGCTGGAGGTGATCGCGGAGCTCATGGGCCGCGTCGCGGGGTGCAGCAAGGGCAAGGGCGGCTCCATGCACATGTACAACAAGGCGACGAATTTCTACGGCGGGAACGGAATCGTGGGCGCGCAGACGCCGCTGGGAGCGGGGCTGGCATTCGGACAGAAGTACAGCAACGTGCCGGGCGTGACACTGTCCTTGTACGGCGACGGCGCCGCGAACCAGGGCCAGCTGTTCGAAGCGATGAACATCGCGGCGCTGTGGGATCTGCCCGTCATCTTCGTCTGCGAGAACAACCACTGTGAGTCGTGAGTCGACGCGCCGCGCGGCGCGCAGTCTTGCGTAGTTGCCCGCGATCCAGCCCGTCAAGTCCGGATCTTGCTAGCTGGTTGTACCACTCATGCTGCCTCATCGCATCAGCACCATCTAAGATTCTCCTTGCGCGCTCTCCGCCCTCCGCTTGCCGCCGCGCCCGCCGCCCTCCCCTGTCCTGGCAGACGGCATGGGTACTGCGGAGTGGCGCGCCGCCAAGAGCCCCGAGTTCTACTGCCGCGGCGACTACGTCCCCGGCCTTAAGGTCAGCCGCGCAGTCTGCGACGCGAGAGTGCTGGAAAGTGGGGACGGTTGAGCTTGGGAGGGCGCAATGTTGAGGTGGAATGCGAGTATTGGACGCTAGGGTGGGCTGATAGGGTGGGTGGCTAGGGTTGCGAGATCCCAGGGCATTGCCGCACCTGTCGTCTGCTGTTCGGTCTAGAATGAACGTAGAGATTCAAGAAGCTACGATCACGGGCAGCATCGAACAGCGATGACCGTCGTCAGCATGAGGATCCCCAGTACTCGCATTGGCAGCGAGCTTCACTTGAGGCTACCCGTAGCGCCGCGAGATTACCTTGATGATCGCCCAAGATACAGATGAAAGGCGGGCGTCATTCGTGACCTGGCTGGGGCGGATCTGGCGGCGGATAATTGTAGCGTCCGCACGCCCGAGTAGCTGATCATAGGTTGCGGCAGGGGCACGCACCGCTGGTGTATCGCGTGTGCTGCATTGCCCTCAGCCGTCATTGCGTGTGTGTCCCGTGTCGTGCGTGTATGGCGGCGCGCAGGTGGACGGCATGGACGCGCTCGCCGTGAAGCAAGCCGTGTCGTACGCCAAGGCGCACGCGCTCAAGAACGGGCCCGTCGTGAGTCACTCTCACCTGCCTCCGCCCTCTCGCACGCACAAATGCACCAACAACTACCTTTTGCATTGCATGTCCCTATCGAGTGCTTACCCCACTTTCACTGTCCCGCTGCCCTCCTTTTTTTAAACAGTCACTTCTTGTCGCTCTGAGCCGCTACCGGTGTCCTGGATCTAGGCACGCTCTCATTTATTGAGGTAACTAAGAACATGCCCTCTATCAACACCCCGCCTGTCATCCACCCGCTGTTGGTCTGCCTGACAACCCTTCAACGTGCGCGCATTTCCCCTTTCCCCGTCACCCTCCCTCCCTCCCCCCTTCCCGTCTCCCCCTCCCCCGCTCCCTTCCCTCCCCACCCCCTCCGCTCCCTTCCCTCTCCCACCTCGCCCCCGGCAGGTACTGGAGATGGACACGTACCGGTACCACGGGCACTCCATGTCGGACCCGGGCAGCACGTACCGCACGCGCGAGGAGATCTCGGGCGTGCGGCAGGAGCGCGACCCCATCGAGCGTATCCGCAAGCTGCTGCTGGCCAAGGAGGTCGTCACTACCGCCGAGCTCAAGGTACCGTGTGTGCTTGACGGTGCTCGTGCCCGTGCCAATGCTGTTGCCGTGCTGCTGCTGCCCGCTTTCGTTCCCGCTCGTTGCTACTGCGTCAACAAGGACATTGTGCGTGTTGGTCTTTTTCTCCTTCCTCCACCTCGTCTCCTGCCTGCCTACTTCTTCTCTGTCCGCCCCTCCTCCTCCTTCGTCACTTTCCTTACTTCCCTTCCTCAACCCTTCCCCGTGTTTTTCCGTCCCGTGCTGCAGTCTTTGGAGAAGGAGGCCAAGGCACTCGTGGAGGCAGACATTGAGAAGGCCAAGGTCAGACCAGCCAGGCCGCCACCCACTCGCTTAGATTGTTGCACCCTATCTCACACCACCTGCATTGGGCTGCTTGATTTACCTGACATGCTGCATTTGCCACCAACGCATGCCCTGACGCCTTTCGGGGCATGGGGTTGTAGGTGCCGAAGTCTTAGATCTTCGCTTATTCTTTCCCTCCACACTTTCACTTGTTGAACCCGTCTGCTCCTCCTCCATTTCTGCCTCCTGCTACATGCTATCATCGCCAGGCGTCGCCCTTCCCTGACCCCAAGGAGCTTTTCACAGAGACTTTCGTCAACCCCAAGGGCACCGAGGTGAGCAAGAGGCACTTACGTGAGCAATAAGCATTGCGGTGAGCAAGAGACATTGCGGTGAACAAGAGACATTGCGGTGAGCAAGAGACATTGCGGTGAGCAAGAGACATTGCGGTGAGCAAGAGACATTGCGGTGAGCAAGAGACATTGCGGTGAGCAAGAGACATTGCGGTGAGCAAGAGACATTGCGGTGAGCAAGAGACATTGCGGTTTAAGAGACATTGCGGTGTGCAAGAGACATTGCAGTGTGCAAGAGACATTGCGGTGTGCAAGAGACATTGCGGTGTGCAAGAGGCACTGCAGCGATCAAGCCGCCATGGTTGCTACAACACTGCATGCTCTCTTGGTTCCATCGAACCACTGATTCTTCGCTTCTCTAAGTCATGTTGCGTTTCATGCTTTCTTCTTAGCGCAACAAGGGCTGTGTGGCGTCTCGCTTGTGCTCGTTTCTTACTGCAAATTGTCTTCCCATCTCCATGCAGTTCTATGGTGCTGACCGGGTGACAACTCACGTTACATTGTAATACGGTAGTGGTGCTCTCAATGATAGTGCAGTTAGGTTATAAGGTGTCTTCGATACCGTAATATTTTTGTTCCGCTATCCATTATGCACACCTGTGTACGTCCTGCAATACTGCTTCCAAATCAAGCCCCTTCATGCATTTTTGGCAAACAGCTGCGGTATATCAAATGTGGATGTGCCAGTTTGTGGTAGTCAATTCTCGAAGGAAACCGTGTAGACTTTCACATTTCCTGTTAGGCCCGACGGTCTAAGTCCACTAAAGAATTAGCTGGGTCGACTAAGCCGAGGATGAATTGCGGCGGAAGACTTTGGCGAAAGAACTATTGGCACAATAGGTGAAGAAGATATAAGTAATTGAAGAAGAGTTGAATGAGAATTGATTGATATTGGTGGATACAAGCAAGGATGATATAGCATGCAAGGTCGAATGTCGGAAAGTACTTCGTGGGACTAGAAAGCAGAAGCAAGAAAAGTAGAGTGCCACGTGGCACTAGGAAATCCAAGAAGATAAGGATAAGGATGGGGTTGGGAGTTACGGTACTGTGCAAAGTGAACAGTAAAACCCTCTGTAACACTACCCCCTTCCGAAGGAGGCGACGTCTGCGGCGCCTGCAGACTGAAGGTACGCTTGGAGGCAAGCGTTGTCAGGAGACAGCGAGGATGAAAGAACCGAGCTGTCGTCTGCCGCGTCGTAACCACGCCAACGAACCAAGAAGTCGATGAAAGAGACACCCCCCTGGAGACGGCGACGGTGCCTGAGGATGCGCCGGATCTGGTAGTCGGGCTCGTCGGTGTCAACAGCTACCGGCAGTGGAGTGCGGTCACGGCCCGAGAAGGTGGCGTTGGGATCGGTGTAAGGACGAAGGAGCGACACGTGGAATGACGGATGCATGCGGAAATGAGCGGGAAGGCGGAGGCGGTATACGACTGGACCAAGTGTGCGCTCAATGACGAATGGACCAATGAAGCGAGGGCGAAGCTTGCTGTCCTGTGGCAGTCGGAGGTTGCGGCTATCCAAGAGAACACGATCGCCGACTGCGAACGACACCTCACGACGACTGCGGTTGGTGGTGCATGCCATACGTGCATTTGCGAGCTCAAGGTGCTTCCTCACGTGATCATGAATGAAGGTGAGATGCTGGTGGAAGTTGTCCGCACGAGGGACAGTGGGTGTGAGATCGACACGAGTGGGGACGTTGGGGTGCTGACCGTACAGTGCGAAAAACGGTGACATGCCTGTGGACGAGTGGTGCGTGTTGTTGTAGGCGAACTCTGCCATGCTCAGCTTCTTGTCCCATGCGGCTGCGTCGTGCATCGTGATTGTGCAAAGAATCTGCTCCAAGGTCTGATTCACACGCTCGGTCTGTCCGTCTGTCTCTGGATGGTACGCAGACGACATGGCTAAGCGAGTCCCAAACAGTGCGAAAAGCTGCTTCCAGAACTTCGAAGTGAAACGAGGGTCGCGGTCTGAGATGATGGAATGTGGAACCCCGTGCGGTCGGACTACATTATCTATGAACAGCGTCACGGCTTCCTCTACTGTGACCTTGCCGTGCGTGGGGATGAAGTGCGCTGCTCGAGAAAACTTATCCACTACTACGAAGATGGCATTGTGACCCCTAACTGTGCGCTGGCGAGAGGACTTCGTACGCTGACACGTGTCGCACGAGCGAATGTAATCCTCTACGTCTGCTGCAAGCCTTGGCCAGTAGTACGTGCGACTAAGCGTCTTAGCCGTCTTATCTGCTCCGAAGTGCCCTGCACTAACTACGTCGTGCGCCTCTGAGAGAAGGAGCTGTCGAAGAGGGCGGTAGGCTGGAACCCAAATCCGTGTGGTACCCTTCCGTATGTAGACACTACCCTGCACCTCTGCTCCTGCGGGCTGCTGCGGTGTGAAGTCGGGATCTACTGTGTAACCGTGCTCGAAGAGTGCTGTGAGAAGTGGATGGCCGGTGGTGACTGTGAGGCTGGCAAGCTGGCAACTAGGGCGAGTGAGCGGATCTGCTGGGTTGCGAACGCCTGTAGTGAAAACTCCCCTCCATGAACTCCATCCATCTAGCCTGGCGACGACTCAGCTGCGATTGTGACTTGAGAAAGCGAAGCGAGCAATGGTCCGTGCGTATGACACTATCTGCCCCCTCTAGGTAGCACCTCCACACCTTATACGCATGGATGATCGCGAGCGCTTCCTTGTCGTGTATGGGATGGTTCAACTGTCAGAACATATAGCTTACTTGTTTCTGTAGGCTATAGTGGGGTATCCCATAAGGGGTACAACCCAATCAGGGTTTCCCATTTGTACTCACTTCGTTCATAGTCATTTCGTTCTCTCGTTCACTTCTTCTCATGGTATTGAGCAGGTTCCCCTGTGGGAACTGTTCGTAGGGCCCACCACCGCTACCGCTTAACTTTTTTTTCTGCCCGGAGCGCCCTCCGGGCCCTAGTACTTCCTTTTTTTTTCGATCTGCCCTAGTGCTCTGACGGCCGCCCGCCCTAGCGCCCGAGCGCCGCCGCCCTTGCGCCCTGACGGCCGCCCGCCCTAGTGCCCTGACGGCCGCCCGCTCTAGTGCCCGAACGCCGCCCGCCCTAGCGCCCTGACGGCCGCCCGCCCTAGCGCCCTGACGGCCGCCCGCCCTAGCGCCCGAGCGCCGCCCGCCCTAGCGCCCGAGCGCCGCCCGCCCTAGCGCCCGAGCGCCGCCCGCCCTAGCGCCCTGACGGCCGCCCGCCCTAGCGCCCGTGCGCCGCTCGCCCTAGCGCCCTGACGGCCGCCCGCCCTAGCGCCCGTGCGCCGCTCGCCCTAGCGCCCTGACGGCCGCCCGCCCTAGAGCCCTGTCGGCCGCCCGCCCTAGCACCCGAGCGCCGCCCGCCCTAGCGCCCTGACGGCCGCCCGCCCTAGCGCCTGTGCGCCGCTCGCCCTAGCGCCCGAGCGCCGCCCGCCCTTGCGCCCTGACGGCCGCCCGCCCTGACGCCTGAGCGCCGCCCGTCGTCGCCCCAGCGCCCTAGCGCCCGACGCCCGCGAGCCGCCCGTCGCAGCCGCCCGTGAGCTGCCTGTACGCCGCCCACCGAGCCGCCCGTGCACCCGCCCAGCGTGAGCCGCCCACGACCGCCCAGGCCGCCGTCCCTGAGCCGCCCGCGCCGCCGTCCCTGAGCCGCCTGTGCAGCCGCCCGCGAGCCGCCAGCGAGCCGCCCGTCGCGACGCCCGCGCCGCACGAGCCGCCCGTACAGCCGAGCCGCCCCAACCGCCCGTGCAGCAGACCCGCCCGAGCCGCCCGAGCCGCCCGCGCCGCCCCAGCAACCCGAGCCGCCCGAGCCGCCCGGGCAACCTGAGGAGCCGAGCTCCTGCTCCTGCGTGGCTGCTGCTGCTCCGAGGCGTGCGCAGCTGCTGTTCTGCCGAGTTGCTGAGCCGCTGTGCTACCCGACTCTTCGTGCCCGGTGAGACAATCAGCTGCTGCAATGGCCACCCCCAGTGTCCTGTCTTTTGACGCTGAGGGTCGCGCCATTGACTTTCCAGTCTGGATTGAGGACCTGCAGCTGTACTTACTGTGCGATGCGATCGATGAGGTTTCTCTCTTTGACTTTGTCTCTGGAGCTGTCCCTGCCCCTCCTGCTGATGCTGACTCTGCTGTTCGCTCCAAGTGGGCCACACGCGATGCTGCTGCACGTCTTGCTGTGCGTCGCCACCTCCCTTCCTCCGAGCGTGCCCACTTTAGTCAGTGCAAGACCGCTCAGGCCTTGTACGACGCTGTAGTTGCACGCTACTCCTCCCCTTCCTCCGCTACGCTGAGCCGCCTCATGCTACCGTTTCTCTTCCCTGACCTCGCTGCCTTTCCCACTGTCGCTGACCTCGTTACTCACCTCCGCGCTAGTGACGCTCGCTACCGCGCTGCCCTTCCTGCTGAGTTCCGCGCCGCAAACCCTCCTCCCATGTACATCACTCTCTACTTTCTCGTCACCCGTCTCCCTGAGTCCCTTCGTGTCGTTAGGGACCAGTTTCTCTCTGACTGTCCCACCACCCTCACTGTCGACCTCCTTGAGGAGTCCCTGCTAGCGGCTGAGAAGAGCATCGTCGCTGTAGAGGCCTCTCGGGGTGACCCTCGCACCCCCATCTTTGAGGGGTGTTCTCCTTCCCCCCTGCTGCCCTCTGTCGCCTCTGCCGCTGCGGCCGACCTCGCTGGTTTTGAGTCGGTCGGTGCGGCGTCTGCCCCCAGCGGTAGACGCCGCTCTGGCAAGGGCAAGGGGGGCAAGGGAGCGGGTGGAGCTAGAGGGGGCAGTGGCGGAGGAGGTGGGGGTGGCGGAGGGAGTGGGGGTGGCGGTGGAGGTGGTGGCGGGAGTGGAGGTACTGGTGGAGGCGGTGGAGGCGGAGGTGGCGGCGGAGGCGGTAGCGGAGGAGGCGGGGGCGAGGGTACCGGTGGGGGCGGTGGCGGTGGAGACGGGGGTGGCGGTGGAGGCGGGAGTGGCGGTGGCGGCGGGGGTCGGAGTGGCTCGTCCCAGCGGAGCAGCTCTGGGGGTGGCCAGCGCCAGCAGCAGCAGCAGCAGCAGCAGCGCTCTCGCACCGTCCCCGCCCCTCAGCAGCTCCGTGAGTGGTACTTGCAGCGTCAGCGTGGTGGTGCGTTTGGTCCCTGCCCCTACGTTCTTCGCACCGGTGACCGTGCGGGGGAGAGGTGTGGAGGCACCCACGCAGCCCGCCGCTGCTTTGGCCGCCTGACCGACGCCTGGCGTCAGCAGTTTCCGGAGGCCGCTGAGATCCCCCGCTGGGGGGAGCTGTCTAGGGCTGGTGTAGCCATTTATGATCTTGACTTTGATGCTATTCTTTCTGCTATGTATGCTGTGACTGGTAGTGATGAGGATGACTGTTACCGGTGTTTCCCGCCCGACCCGGGCATTGGTACTGCTGCGTCAGGTGCTAGTGAGGCTGCTGCTCTAGGTGCCAGTGCGTCTGTGCTCTCAGGTACTGGTGAGTTTGCCCTCTCAGGTACTGTGTCGGCTTCGGCCTCTCACACC